GAAGATTTGGATTTGGACATGCAGATGTTGGGCAACAGCTGCACTTTAGCAACGGGAGGATGGGGGTTGGGAACGGCATTTTTCGGGATCATTATTTTGGTTTTTTTTTTTTTTTTTTTTTTGGGCAGGAGCTGTTTTGGATTTTCAGTGAATCAGCTCCTACGCGCCCCGGGGCTGGGTGAAGGAATTGGCAGGAATTCATTCCAAGGTGGGAGCCAAACTTCTCCTCCCCTCAGGGATGCGCCACTCCGGGTTTCACTGGGCCGGAATTTGGGATATTTGGGGATTTTGAGTGTCTTGGACTGACTCAAGGAACTTCCTGGCAGGAACATTTACAGAAAACAAAGAAACAAATCCCAAATCCTCATTTTTCCCCTATTTTTGCTTTTCCTACACTAAATATCGGAACAAAAAACCGAGATTAATCAAACCACGCCTTATCAGCCTCCAGATGCTCAAACATCCGGTGATAACATCACTCAATTAAGCACAAAACTTCATTAATGACGCTTCGTTAATACTCCAGCCCCCGAGGGATTGAATTCCCATTAAATTCAGCCCCCGGGGCAGGTTGGTGGCAGCTGAGGCCGGTGCTGGCCGGAATTTGTCACCCTGGAGCCACCCCGGGAGGACCAAGGTGACTCCGAGCAGCTGCCACACCCAGAGGTTGCTAAAAATAGCCGGCTCCTCCTCCTCCTCCAGCATCGTTTGTTTACATTCCTGTGGTTTGTTTCCCATTAAATAATTCCGGCTTTCCCTGCCCTGAACCCTCCTGAAAATGTGGGATTTCCTCCCGGGGGAAAGGATCCATCCTGCTGGGAGGCGGGTGGGAAAAATCCCAAATCGAGTGGGAATAATCCAAAAACCGAGTGGGAATAATCCCAAAATCGAGTGGGAAAAATTCCAAAATCGAGTGGGAATAATTCCGAAACCGAGTGGGAATAATTCCAAAATCCAGAGGGAAAAATCCCAAAACCAAGTGGGAGTAATTCCAAAGCCGAGTGGAAAAACTTCCAAAGTCGAGCAGAAAAATCCCGGGCTTTGTGGGGAAACTGAGGCAGGTTGTGTAATGCCTCCCGGGGCAAGCAGAGGGAGACGCGAAGTCACCGAGGGAACTCGGATCTGGGGCTCCACCCAAACACCGAAAACCAGGATTAATCAAAAAATTAAAACAAAACCACCAAAGCCCAGCAGGGAATGCAGGTGTGCTCAGATTTTATATCATTTATAAATTTGAATTTGCTTTACCACTCTGGCCAACCTGGCACTTCAATTTTCTTGTAATTATATATTAGTATATAAATTTACAATATTGATGTGTAATATTATGCATATATTTATGTATAATATGATATAACTAATGTGTATAATTTAGATATATTTATATAACACCTATATAATAATGATATCAATTTCCATAATATTTACATTTATTTATATTATGTTTATTTATTTGATATTATATTTATATTTGTTTTAGATATTTTGATATATTCTACACCTCTGTACAGCTCTGCTCAACACTTGTTAAGGGAAATGTTTTTCTTCTGCCTCCTCCCTTCATTCCCTTTCCCTTTTGTGTTCCTCCAACATTTAATTCCCTGAATTTATCCTTTTGTTAATTTTCGGGATTTAAAATCTGGTTTAATCCCAGCTAGAAGTGAACAAAAAGCAGAAATCTTAGGTCCCACTGCTGAATTTGGCGGGGTTGGTTGCTCTGTGAAGCACTGGAAAGAATAAAAAAAAATCCTCAGTGGTCCTGACAAGGCTGAACCATCCTAAAAGAAAAAATCCCTTTTTTTATCAACCAAAAAGCCTCCAGAAAGGGCTCAGCTCTCGTGACCCCGCACATCTTTTTGGAGCAGACCCTCCCTGCCTGGCACCCACCCCACGGACAGTACGATCCAGGTGCTGCAGTTTGCTCTAACCCTCCCCGGTGCAGGAAATCGGGATGGGGGAGGATTTTCTGGAGCCGCCCCCCAGGATGAGACACCCTGAGCGTTCTCCAGGTTCCTCCAACCCCAGAACCCTTCCCTGTGTGTGCTCCGGGTTCCACCAATTCCAGAACCCTTCACCGGGCAGGCTGTGAGTTCCTCCAACCCCAGAACCCTTCCCAGGGCGTGCTCCGGGTTCCAAGAACCCCAGAACCCTTTCCCCGGGCGTGCTCCGGATTCCTCCAACCCCAGAACCCTCCCCTGAGCGCGCTCCGGGTTCCACCAAGCCCAGAACCCTTCCCTGAACTTGCTCCGGGTTCCTCCAACCCCAGAGTCCTTCCCCGGGCGTTCTCCAGGTTCCTTCAACCCCAGAACCCTTCCCTGTGTGTGCTCCGGGTTCCAGCAAGCCCAGAACCCTTCCCCGGGCGTTCTCCGGGTTCCTCCAACCCCAAAACCCTTTCCCGGGCGTTCTCCGGGTTCCTCCAACCCCAAAACCCTTCCCCGGGTATGCTCCGGGTTCATCCAACCCCAAAACCCTTCCCCGGGCGTGCTCCGGGTTCCTCCAACCCCAGAATCCCTCCCCGGGCGGGGTCAGGGATTTATCCCCACCCAGGAGCCGCCGGCTCTTGGGCAACCACCCAAGACCAACCGAGGTCACTCCCTGCCCTGAGCGGGCCGGGGGTCACCGCCTGGATTTTGGGCTTCTCCGACTTTCCCTGCGAAATCAGAACTCCTGATAGAGCAGAACGCGCGGCGAGCGAGGCATTAATTGCCGTTAATTACCCGCTGCGCAGCTCCTCCTGCCCGATGGGCGGAATTGTTGCTGATGCGAGCTTTGTGCCGCTGATGTCAGCGGGCAGAGACGCTTTGAAGTGAGGGCAGCGAGGGCTGCGAAGCTCCGGCAGCAGCGCTCCCACCCCAAATCCTCTCTTTGATGATTCTTCCGTGAGGCAGAGCTCCTGACTCAGCCGCGGCACCGAACCCCGCGGCTCTGCAGCCCCGCCGAACCGGTTCGGGCACAAAAACCGAATTAACCGGCCTTAAAGCTGCCCCTGCCCTGCGCAAGGATGTAATTGTCTACGACAATTTAGGATTAATGGTTATTAAGGCTCTGTGTTGTGGGGTTTGCAGTCTGCGCTTGCTCTTTGTTCCCTTTGTTACTCACGGGATGGTTTGGGCTGGAAGGAGCCTTAAAACTCGCCCAGTTCCACCCCTGCTGCGGTCCCGGCTCCTTCCAGCCTGGCCTCGGACACTTTTCTTCGTTTTGGTGGATTTCTCCTTAAAATCGGGGCTGAACTTTGCCTAAATATTCTGGTTCTGTGGGATTTAGGAGCTCTCTCTGCTCTGCTTTCTGTGCCGGGTAAAGGGTGCAAAAATCGAAGCGGGAGCTTTCCCAAGGATTTTGAATTTATGGGAGAATGAGGGATTTCAGTCTCTTAATTCTGGGAAAAAAAAATATTTGGGAAGGTTTTGAGAATGGATTTTCCCAGAAATTCCCTGAAAAAGTTGTGCCGGAGCCTCCCCAACCTCACAGGGAACAATTCCTTCCAAAAATCCTCCCTAAACCTCCTTTCGTTCAGTCTGGATCCATCCCTGGCCCCACAATTCCTGACGAACCAACTGCAGGCACAGGAGCAAAACACAAAACGCGGGTGGAAAGGAGAAAATTCCACCTGAGATTTCTGCATTTCGGGGGATTTTGGGAGGAGTCGATCCCGTTGTGCTCCAGGGACTGATTTTGCCAGCCAGGATTCGGTTCCTGGGCTGGGAATTCCCAAATGCCACAGAGATCAGCTGAGGAGAGCTGGAATCCTTTCGGAGGGGTGAATTCCACACTTTCTCCGTGTGTTTTAATCCTTCTGGTCGGCTCGGCGGGGAAACTTGGGGGGGGGGGGGGGGGGGGGTGTTGGAGCAAGAAATTCCAAAGGGTGATAACAAAGACATGGGAAATTTCGGGACGATTCTGGGGCGGGATTTTGGGCTCCTCCTCATAGGCAACGTCCATTCAACCTCGTTAGGATTAAATCCTTGGGGGGAAATAAAAGGATTCCTCTGCCATGGACGTGATTCCAAAAGGATCCACACGTCCCCAACTGTTCCCTGCTCACAAAGAAGCCACTGGGAGGATCTTCCCAAAATCCCGGTCCTTTGCACCACTTTTTTTCCTCTTTTCACTCCCTCTTCCCTCCGGAGGGAACCTTTGCTCCTGGAAATTCCCACCTTGAGACGAGGTAAAACCATCCTGGGGTTCGTGGCATCCCAGGAATTATTCTGATTTTATGAGGCAACTCCAGAGATCCCGCCGGGCTTTGGAGCTTATCGGGAATATTCCGGAGACATCAGAAAATGAGATTTCAAAGGGGATCTCAAAACCTCCGCGAGTTTGTCATCCAGGGAAATAATTTCGTGGTAATCACGGTAATGACATCCTAGAGGATCCGGGCTGCTGTGACCTCACAAAGAATAAATTATGGGAAGTGTTCCACCAAACTCCTCATTTTAAACTTCACGGCATAATTCATGAACGGCTTCGTTTTTATTCCAAATATAATCCCGAGTTCGCTCTTCAGGTTTGCGCCAGATCCTTCCCCTGGTTTAGGAGCACATCCGTAAATCCCACCAATATTTTGGGAAAGAATCCCCGATTTGATAAACGAGGCACGGCCACAATTCCCTGTGTTAGGTTCTGCTTCCATAAGGAAAATCACCCTGGCACTCCAAGATTCCCCGCGCACTCCAGCTTTTAGCCAAGATAAGCTTAAAAAACCTCATTAATTCTCGCTGCATTTTCACCTCTTAATGAAACCAGGAGGAGAAAAGCAGGAAATTCTGAGATGAAAAGACCTGGCGGCTTGCCATCTGCATTTTTGGGGTTATTGCCCAACGCGGCTTTAGATAATCATAAACAGCCAGCAAAACAATTCCTGCGGCTCCAGCAGCGATCCCTGCACCGGGCTCGGCTCCCGAGTCATTAAAACGCTTTAGCAAAGGGTGGCTCAGCCGCCCCCGGCCATCGGGGCAGGATATAAAACCCCTCTCCACCCTGGCATCTCCTCACTGCCTCTCCCGACTCCTCCTCTCCGCCTTTCTGAGTAAGTTCGGGCTCCCCGGCGCTAAAAACCTCCATTTTTCTTCTGCTTTTTCTCCTCAAAATCGGGGCTGAGCCTTGCCTGAATGGTCCGGTTCTGAGGGATTTAGGAACGCTTCTCGTGCTGGGCAAAAGGGGGAAAAGTCAAAGCAAGGCTTTGGGATTTATGGGAGAATGAGGGGTTGCAGTTTTTCATTCTGGAAAAATATTTGGGGAAGTTTCGGGGATGGATTTAAATTCGCGTTTGGTTGCGTGGCGGGATCAGGGAGAGGGTTCAGGGTGGGTTTGGTGTGGAATTCATGGAAAACTCTGGAAAATCCTGCTTGGAAGGGAGCTCCGTGCACCTCTGCTGCTGCTTGGATCAGCCCGTTCTTAATTTAATTGGAGCCACAGCGAACGATTATTATGGATTATTAACGTAACTGTGCCAATAACTTTCATTTCTAACTCTTAAAACTGATTTACAGTTCTAAAGCGCTTTTACAGAGATTAAATCCAGCATTTCTGTAGGTCAGTGCTACGTTCCTACTGGGGAATTTGGAGGAAAATGCCCTGAACGGGTATTTTAATTTTTTTTTTTTTTTAATTATCAAAAGGATAAATTTAATTTACAAGCTTAAAAAAATATTCTGATGCTACACCAGGCTTCTATGTGAGGATTTAACCTGAAGAAATAAACATTATTGAACTAATTTCACCCCTAGGTGAAAACGTAATTTTCTTATTTGGCTTGATTATATCACTATAGAAATATTTTAACATATATATTATATTATATAAATATTTTAATTATACGTTTCACTTATTAAACGAGCACTTAACCCTCCCACTTCTCCTCAGCCTTTTGCTTTTTTCCCTGTGTTTTACCAGAATATTTTCCTGCCTGAAAACAACAGGAATCTGCAAGGAAAATAATACAAAAATTAAGCCGGGTGCTAAGCTGATTATTCCACGCTGAAATACGTGGAAAATCCGGATTTTTTTTTTTTTTCCCCCCCGTGTGGGAGGAACAGAGGCGCTGTGGGAACGAGTTCCAGCGCGTCCTCGGGAATTCCTCCAAAGGGCCGGGACTTGGAGGTGGCACGGGAGGAAAGAGGAGGAGTTCTGCTCCCGGGGGAGGAGGAGAAAATGGGGGAAATTTAACAGGAATTCAGAACAAATCGGGGCGGGGGAAGTTAAAGGTGGGAGATAAAGCCTCATCCAAATGACCTCCGAGGATCCCTTAAAGGCAAAGGTCAATAATCAAGAGAGCAATTATTGGTTTTATCTTAATTATCTCTAACAAGACCTTAAAACGAAATGTCAATAGCCAAGAGGGCAATTCCTGTCTTTATCTGAATTATCTCTAAAGACCATTTAGAGCCGAATGTCAACAAACAAGCGATCAAGTCTCGTTCTTGCCCGAATTATCTCTTAGAATGTCAATAGCCGAGTGTTTAACTCTTCTCTTTTCCCGAGTTTAGGAGCACAACATCCTTTTAGAGATATCTCAATTATCTCTAAAAATATCTCAATTATCTCTGAAAACCACTTAGAGCCAAGTAAACCAGCGCTCGGCTCGTGTCTTTATTTTGATTATCTCTAAAAACCCTCAGAGCCAAACGTCCATAAACCAGCGCTCGGCTCGTGTCTTTATTTTGATTATCTCTAAAAACTCTTAGAGCCGAACGTCAATAAATCAACGCTCCAGTTCTGTCTCTATCCCAATTTTCTCTGACGATCTTCTAGACCCAAATGTCCATAAACAAGATCTCGAGTTTTGTCTCTATCCCAATTACCTCTGACGATCTTTTAGACTCAAATGTCCATAAACCAGCGCTCAAATTTTTTCTCTATCCCAATTACCTCTGACCATCTCTTAGAGCCAAATGTCAATAAACCAGCGCTCAAATTTTGTCTCTATCCCAATTTCTTCTGACGATCTTTTAGACCCAAATGTCCATAAACAAGATCTCGAGTTTTGTCTCTATCTCAAATACCTCTGACCATCTTTTAGACCCAAATGTCCATAAACCAGAGCTCCAGTTCTGTCTCCCAATTTTCTCCGACGATTTCTTAGAGCCAAATGTAAATAAACCAGCGCTCAAATTTTGTCTCTATCCCAATTTCCTCTGACCGTCTCTTAGAGAAAAATGCCAACATCCAAGAGCCGCCGGGAGTTGTCCGCTTCGCTTTTGGACCTTTCTTTGTTTATTTGGTTTTTTTGGTTTTTTTTTTTTTTTAACCCCGCAGGCTCTGCCCCAGCACCTCCGGGCGATGGCTTCCACCCAACTGTCCTGTGCCACCCCCTGCGAGCCCAAGTGTCCCCAACCGCTGGCCAGCAGCACCAACGAGCCCTGCGTGGTGACCTGCGGCGACTCGCGGGTCATCATTTACCCCCCGCCCGTGGTGGTCACCTTCCCGGGGCCCATCCTCACCACGTACCCTCAGCAAACCGTCGTGGGAGCCTCGGAGCCCTCGGAGGTGGCCCTGGGCGAGCCCCCGGCCCCGGCCGCGCTGCCCGCCGAGGTCACGGCTGGCGACAAAGTGGCAGCGCCGGTGCTGGCCCGTCCCGAGCCGCGCTGCGCCCCCAAATATTCCTACAGCTACTCCTCGCAATGGACTCATCCCTGCAATTCCTACCGCTCCGGGAAGCGCTGGACGTGCTGAGCACGGGGAACGGGCTCCAAGGGAAATCCCGGGTGAAATCCCAGCTGTTCTTGGCGGTGCAGCGGCCCCGGGGCTGCTCCGGCTCCTCCCGAGAGCTGCGGGGGCTCAGCCCCGGCACAGGCGGCCTCGTGTTGCAATTCCTCGGGTTTTTTTCCCTTAGTTTAGGGCTGTTCTCCCGCAGCTTTGCAGCGCAGTCGCCTGCTTCCGCCGTGCTTTGGCTTATCCCGAATTTTTTTATTGGCACTGAGCTTAGAGAGGCGACTTGAAATGCTCGGAATCGCACACGGCAACGCTGCCAAAAAGGGAAATTCCCCGTTTTTACAGGCGGCATCACTTGGATGCTGGTGATTTGCCAGAGCCTGGCTGAACCCCCGGAACGATGCTCTTTGTACCCTGTACAGTTTTGTTCCACAATTGTAGGAAAGCTTCTCTTTCCAAATAAATTTTCTCTACCGAAACACATTTTCTGTCTTCCTTTATCACTATTTTTTTTTTTTTTTTAAAGGGGGAGGTTTGGGAGGGATATCAGGGAAATTCTTCTCCCAGAGGGTGCTGGGCACTGCCCAGGCTCCACAGGGAATCGCTGGAGCTGTGCCAGGGGAGGTTTAGGATGGATTTTAGGGAAAGGCTGTTCCCCCAGAGGGTGCTGGGCACTGCCCAGGTTCCCCAGGGAATGGGCACAGCCCCGGGGCTGCCAGAGCTCCAGGAGAATTTGGGAAACACCCTCAGGGAGAGGAAAGAGCCCAGAGGAGGCTCCAGGACGGGATCCGAGGGGTGGAGCACCCCTGCTGGCAGAGCTGGGATTATTCAGCATGGAGAAACTTTGGGGTGGCCCAATTGTGGCCTTGCAGGAGCAGAAGGGGCTACAAGAAACACGGGGAGATACAATTCCCAAGGGATGGGGTGCCAGGACAGGAGGGAATGGATTCAGACTCGTGGAGAGGGGGTTCAGGTGGGACATTGGCAAGGAATTGTTCCCTGTGAGGGTGGAGACTCCCTGGGATGGATTTCCCAGAGAAGCTGGGGCTGCCCCATCACTGGCAGTATCCAAGGCCAGGCTGGACAGGGCCTGGAGCAACCTGGGACAGTGGAAAGTGTCCCTGCCCATGCCTGGGGTGGATCGGGATGAGTTTTAAGGCCCCTTCCCACCCAAACCATCCTCCGATTCCATGATCGGACATTCCAACCATTGCTCAGTCAGAGACCCATTTACGGCCAGGATGAAGAAATCCATGACAAAAAAATAAATCTTTCATGCAATGCGGATTCTTAGAAGTTCTGTTCATTCATGGATGATAAATGTTGGGCCTTGAGCTTCATCTGGGGAAGAATTTCTTCCTGGGTGGGGTGGTCAGGACTGGAAGGGGCTGCCCAGGGAGGTTTGGGGCCCCACCCCTGGAATTGTCCAAGGAACAAGTGGAAATGGCACTCGGACCCCTGGGCTGGGCGACACGGTGGGGATCGGTCAAAAACTGAATGATGATTTGGAGTTTTTTAAACCCGGAATGATTCCGGGATCCTGTGACCATATCCCAGCTCAACACGGCCATCAGAGCAGCAAACCCATTAAAAAACAACCAAAATCCAAAAGGATTGCAGCAACACAGATTCTTTATTGCGAGTGAAAAGCCCACAGGCGCTGTCAGCGAGAGACAAACCAGCAACAAGGCGTCGGAAAGACGAAAATCCCAAGGCAGCAGCGAGGCAGAGCCCAGGGCTGCACCCCAGAGATCGGCCCTGGCCAGGGCGGCTCCGGGGCTCGGCGCCGGGCAGAGCGGGCAGAGCCTCAGCCGAGGCTGGGCACAGCTGGCCGGGGGCGCAGAGAGGGGGCAGCTTTTGGAGGCAGTGCTGGGGAGCCCAGAGGCGCCTGGCGAGGCTCTGCGGGCTCAGCCGGCAGCGCCGGGGACCCTGCGGCTGCCGGGGCTGCTGGGCCGGCCCTGAGCAGGGGCTGCGGCTTCAGCCCGGCTCAGGTGGCACAAGGCAGCGGGGGCTGCTGGAGGAGCCCGCGGGCAGGGCCAGCACTGAGCTCCGGCGGGGTTGGGGCTTAGCAGGGCCCGCAGGAGCCCCCGAAGGAGCGGGAACCGCGGCCGCAGCTACCATAGCCCCCAAAACCGCCGTAACCTCCATAGCTCCCAAAGCCCCCAAAGCCCCCAAAGCCGCCGGAGCCGCCACGGCTTCCAAAGGCGCCCCCGGAGCCTGCTCCCACGTAGGGAGCTCCGGCCGAGCCCACGGCGCTCTGCTGCGGGAAGGAGCTGAGGATGGGCCCGGGGAAGGTGACCACCGAGGCCGGGGGCTGGATGACCACCGTGGAGTCGGGGCACTGCCGCACGCAGGGCTCGTTGGAGGTGTCAGCCAGAGGGGCCGGGGTGGCCACTCCGCAGCTGGGGACACACAGGCTGTTGCAGGACATCCTTGGGTTCGGCTGGCAAAGCTGCAAGACAAGGCACAGCCGCGGCTCACGCCAAGCACTCGGCACACAAAGCCCTGCTGCTCTCGCCCGCCTGCAGCCCGTGTCCCAGGGCTCGCTCTGGCTCATCCCAGGCCTTCCCAGCCAAGCCCTGGCACGGCTGGAGCGGCTCCTGGAATGCCCGGCTGCCCTCACCACCCCCGGCTCCTGCCTGCCCGTGGCAACGAAGAAAAACTCCCTCGTCCAAAGCTCCGGGCTCCCGAGGCCTTGAGCCCGCTGGTGGAACCCCAACCACCCCAACTCTGCCCTGGGACAGCTGCTGGAGCGCGGGGACAGAGAACCCTTGGGGATTCCACAGGGACAGAGATCCCTCGGGGATTCCACAGGGACAGAGATCTCTCGGGGATTCCACAGGGACAGAGATCCCTCGGGGATTCCACAGGGACAGAGATCCCTTGGGAATTCCACAGCCAGAGACTCCCCGGGGAAGGCGCAGAGGAGGGAGGGAGGACGGAGGCACTCACCACAGCGATCAATGAGCAGAGTCGAGTGGGGAGAGCTGGATGCAGCCCTGTGGAGCCCTCGGACCTTTTATACACCCCAGAGTGCCTGGGGCACCGTCCAGAAGCGGTGACAGAGCCCCAGCTAATCATGGAATTCAAGCGGACAAAACTCCTGACACAAACTGAAACGTGGGCAAATTACATCCATACTAATTGGGGCTAGGAACAAGTAAAGGTGCCCTGGAGAGCCACCAGGCCCTGGAGGGGCAGACCGTGACAAATCGCTGAGTGAAAGATCATTTGTTGTCGAAGCTGAGCTCAGAACCCCAATAAAACATGACATGTCCCTAATCCCCCACTTTGCTTATGCACGGGAGTTTTGTGCATCACTCAGGAGCGCTTTGAAATCCTGGGCACAGCCGGCACATCTGTCATTAATCCTTTTTACGGGCTGCTAAATAGGGACGCCGGGAGGGAGAAGCCATCCCACCCACTCGGGGCGCATCCCAAACTCCAGACGTGGCAGGGGAGGAGGGCACAGGACCAGAGTCCCGGCTTGGGGTGGGCTGGGGGGAGCACAGAGGAGCAGCAGCCCCCATGTCCTGCCCGAGGAGGGCCATGGCATAGGGCTGGGCACGGAGGGTTCTGCAGGATCAATCCCTAAGGGATTTTTGTGCTTCAGGAGGATTTCTTAAGTCCCCGATTCACCTGATGGTGGTGCAAAAAACAGAGGGGGAGATCCCATGTGAGCTGAAGCTTCACCAACCATCCATCCTGGCACGGATGTGGGTGTGACACGGGGGGGATAAACGAGTAAGGGGAGACCTAAAGAAAGGATCAGGACAGCAGAGAGAGAATCAAGAACCGCTCAGACCCTCCAGACAGGGTCCTGGACGAGGCCTCCTCTGCATTGTCCAGCTGGCATAGAGGGCTGGCCCAGGGGGTGTTGGCCGAGCCCCCCACAACCAGGCTGGCCCAGGGGGTGTTGGCCGAGCCCCCTAGAGCCAGGCTGGCCCAGGGGGTGTTGGCCAAGCCCCCCACAGCCAGGCAGGCCCAGGGGGTGTTGGCCGAGCCCCCCAGAGCCAGGCTGGTCCGGGCCAGGCCCAGCTGGGCACAGCTACCTCAGGGGCATGGCCGGGCAGGGGCTCAGGGTGGCAGGGCCAGGCAAACAAAGGACGCTCAGGATTCTTTGTAAGCCAAGTGAGGTTTATTGAGGACAAACCTGCGTTTATTGGGGCTGTGGGCGCAGATCCAGCAGCACCGTGTCTGTCATGTAATGATGGGCCACGGCTGTTCCTGAAAGCGCCTCTCTATTGTCCACTCATTTCCAAACCAATGTCCACAATGGGGGGATGACAGAATTTTTCTGCGTCCCTGCACTTTATGAAGCTTGGTAGCGTGAATTCGTAATTATTGGGGAAGGGGGGTCTGCCCGCACCCCCGGACGATGCCCCCGGCTCTCTGGGCTGTATAAAAGGGCTGAGCTCCTTGCACAGCTCCATCCGCACTCCTGCACTTGACTCCTCTCATCACCTGGGTAAGTGCAGCTCTCCGAAGCCTCTTGGGGATCTCTCTCAGCACAACTCCTCCCTCACACCTTTGCCTCTTCTTTTCCCCGCAGTTTTTTTCCAGAAGCCTTTCCAAGTCTCAAGGATGTCCTGCTGTGTCCCTTCCTGCGGCGTGGCCACCCCGGCCCCTCTGGCTGACACCTCCAACGAGCCCTGCGTGCGGCAGTGCCCCGACTCCACGGTGGTCATCCAGCCCCCGGCCACGGTGGTCACCTTCCCCGGGCCCATCCTCAGCTCCTTCCCGCAGCAGAGCGCCGTGGGCTCGGCCGGAGCTCCCTACGTCGGAGGCGGCTTCGGCGGCTCCTCCGGACGCCGTGGGGGCTCCGGTGGCTCCGGCGGCCTTGGGGGATTCGGAGGTTTTGGGGGCAGCTGCGGCGCCCCCAGAGGCTGCGGGCCCTGCTAAGCCCCAGCCCGAGCGCCATCCCTGATCCAGGAGAGCTCCAGGAACGCCCCCGGCCCATCCCCGCACGCCAAGGCCCCAAGGAAGGACGCACCGACAGACACACAGACAGACAGACAGACAGACATCCCTCGGCCCCGCTCCGCCTCCTCCCCGCCGCGCTCGGAGCCCCGCAGCGATCGCTGCCCGCTCCCGGCACGGCCCCAGCTCGGCTCCTGCTCTGCCCGCGGCCGGGACCCGCGGGGAGCCCTCGGCCAGGGCCCCGCTCCGCTGCCGCCCCCCTGCCCCCGCACGCCAATAAAAGCTGCCTCGCACTGCAATGTTCACCGGCTCTCGGCTGCTCTTTGCTCCGCGCCCCCTGCCCAGCCCGGCCCGCCTGCCGGGAGGGTTCCGGGCAGCCCCGCTCGGACACGGCGGGCGAGGAGCCCCCGGCAGCTGCCCGGGCTCCTCCTGCCCGTCCTTGGCCGCCCCAGCCCCGCAGCAGAGTCCCCCCGAGCCGGACCCTGCCCAGCCCCTGCCACGGCACCTCTCCCTGGCCCTGCCCGCCTCCTGCCCCCTCCCGGCTCCTCTCTGCAGCCCCTCAGGAGCCCCGGGCCCCACCGCCAGCCCCCTGCCCTTGGACACCCCCCGAGGGCCGCTGGAGCCCCAGGCCCGTGGGGATTGGGCGCCAGTGGAGCCCCCCAAGGTACCCGGCCCCACTCGGGGCTCTCGGGCGGCCCCGGCTCCGCAGGGAGAGGGAGAACAGCCCCAGCAGCGCTGCCGCTCCTTCCTCATCCCCTGGAACGTTCCAGCTCCCCGCACCGCCTCCTGCTCCCGCTTCTCCTGTGGGTTCCACCGCGGCTCCTCGGAGCGCTGCCGGCCCCGCCTCGCCCCTCTGCGGGTGCCGAGGCCCTTCCTGGGGTCCCCGGTGTCACCCACCCCTCACCGGGGACACGGCCCTGCCCAGGAGCGGCAGCAGAAATTGCAACAGCCCCGGGCTCAGGGACACACCGCGGTGACCTTTGCTGCCCCTGCTCGCACTGAATTACATGGCCAATATAAAAATATTATTTAATAGATTGGTAATACTGGGTACATTGGGACTATTGCCATAATATGAACAGAGTAGGATATAATATTGTCTAAAACTGATCTAGATGAACTTAAAACAAATATGATATCCCAAACCCAGGGAGTTTTTGGTGTTAATTTAGGAAGAAATTTTCATACATATCAATAAGCAATAGAAGGGACCTCAGGGAGGTGGGAAACTCCACGCTCCTCCTCCAAGAGCCCCGCGGGACTGAACCCTGTGGTCATTGCTTGGCGTGGAGAGGAGACTGGGCAAGATCTGCTCGGGTCTGTCTCCTCCCTTCCCAGCTGCCACTGCCTCCATCCCGACAGGCCACAACACCTGGGACATGCAGCGCTCATCCTGCATCCCCATGAGACTGACCAGCCCCAGCACGGTGTGGGAGAGGATTTACAGCGACTTCTGTGAGCCAGAGGGAAGATTGAGAAGAGGATCCATGTTCACCCCTGAAAGGATTTCCTACCAAGGTCCTTGATAGAGAAACCAAGAAAGAAAAGGAGAAATAAGAGGAACCTGCAACTGCCTGTTCCAATGAGCACTTTGTCTTTCCTGACCAATGAGTAAGGTGTAAACCTATGAGTTTTGTAAGAATGTATGGAAAGCACGCATGCTAAAATAAAATCGGGTTTGAAGCCTTCTGAAAATGGAGTGTTGCTTTGTATTGTGACCATCTCAACTAAACCCAGTCCCAGAAGTGATGTCAGCTTTGCTGCTTCTGCTGAAGATTTGGAAGAGTTTCTGCAAGGCCCTCGTGGTCCTTTCTCATCATCAGCGAGGGATTTGGGTTTGTCCTGCATTTCCTGCTGCTGGGAGAGCACGGGGAGCTGGGGGGATGAGCCCCCCAGAGCCAGTGGGGTTGGACATCCCCAGCTGGGACACAGGGAGCCAGCTGTGCCCGAGCTCCAGGGCACTGCCCAGGGGCACTGCAACAGCCCAGCAGCCCCCCAGGAGACTGGGCAGCAGCAAAAGGGAGGGTGAAGGAAAACCAGGAGTCAACATTGCAATGCAAGACAGCTTTTATTGCAGGGGCAGGGCAGGAGGGGCTGGGCAGAAGAGCAGGGTCATGGCCAAGGGCTTCCCGTGGCCTGGCCCTGGGCACAGCCAGGAGAGAAGGAGCAGCCCTGGGTGATTCTCTGGGGCCGAGGCACCAGGAGCCCCGTGGGGATGCTCAGGCAGGGCAGGGACAAGGCAGAGCTGCTTCCCAAGCTGGCACCAGGCTCCCGAGGTGCAGAGCCCGGCGATGCTTAAGGAGTTTTGGTCCACGTAGCGTCGGGTCGGGATATGCCGGGGTTTCTCCTGGAGCTCTTCTTGGTCTGAGGCTGCGCTCAGGCTGGGGCTTAGCAGGGCCCGCAGTTGCCATTGAGGTAGCGGTGGCCACTGCTCCAGCCGCCGTAGCCACAGCTGCCGTAGCCCCCATATGCCGGGGTTTCTCCTGGAGCTCTTCTTGGTCTGAGGCTGCGCTCAGGCTGGGGCTTAGCAGGGCCCGCAGTTGCCATTGAGGTAGCGGTGGCCACTGCTCCAGCCGCCGTAGCCACAGCTGCCGTAGCCCCCATAGCCCCCAAAGCCTCCGTAACCTCCACAACCCCATCCGCCGTAACCTCCACGGCCTCCATAGCCCCAGCCCCCATAGAGACCACGGCCTCCGTAGCCCCAACCTCCGTAACCTCCATAGCCTCCAAGGCTCCCGTAGCCCCCGTACCCCCCACGGCTTCCAAAGGCGCCCCCGGAGCCTGCTCCCACGTAGGGAGCTCCGGCCGAGCCCACGGCGCTCTGCTGCGGGAAGGAGCTGAGGATGGGCCCGGGGAAGGTGACCACCGAGGCCGGGGGCTGGATGACCACCGTGGAGTCGGGGCACTGCCGCACGCAGGGCTCGTTGCAGGTGTCAGCCAGAGGGGCCGGGGTGGCCACCCCGCAGCTGGGGACACACAGGCTGTTGCAGGACATCCTTGGGTTCGGCTGGCAAAGCTGCAAGACAAGGCACAGCCGCGGCTCATGCCAAGCACTCGGCACACAAAGCCCTGCTGCTCTCGCCCGCCTGCAGCCCGTGTCCCAGGGCTCGCTCTGGCTCATCCCAAGCATTCTGAACCGAGCCCCTTCCATCTAAATGCCTGCTCACATCCCTTGCTGCCCTCTCCATCCCTGAATCTTGCTGTCCCACGGGAATTTAGAAGACTTTGGCATCCGAAGGAGCAAAGTCCTCAAGTTTCCCAAGCCCTTGGTCCCCTGGTAGAACCCCAACCACCCAACTCTGCTCTAGGAGAGCAAGAGGGGCCCACAGCCAAGGGTTCTTCCAAAAAGCCCCAGACAAAGATTCCATGAGAAAGCCATGGTTGAAGAAGGAAAGAGGAGAGAAGGCTTGCACTTACCAAGGTGATAAGACGAGTCAAGTGGTGGAAGGTGGATAGAGCTCTGTGGAACTTCTGGACCTTTTATACACCTCCGAAAGGGCCTGGGGCATCAGGAAAGGGAGCGGTGGCAAAAAAACAAGCAATTAGGAATTCAAGCTGACAAGCTTCATCAGAGAGATAATGTTGCAATACAATTATACACCTCAGCATCAGGGAGATTGGTGTGGAAACGTGCCCTGGACCGATGAGAGGGGATGGGAGGAACAGCCGTGGACCATCATTAGGTGACAGACTCGGTGCTGCTGGAGCTCAGCTCACAGCCCCAGTAAACGCTGCTCTGTCCCTAATCCTTCACTTTGCTTACAAAGAATCTCAAGCATCCTTTGGGACATTGCTGTGCCCGGCCTCACCACCCTGAGCCCCAGCCCGGCCTTGCCCCTGAGCCAGCCGTGCCCAGCTGCGGCCCGTGTGTGTGAGCTGGGCCCTGCTGGAGGGTCTGCACTGCCCAGCTGGCACCGAGGGGTGGCCCAGGGGGTGTTGGCCGAGCCCCCCAGAGCCAGGCTGGTCCGGGCCAGGCCCAGCTGGGCACGGCTGGCTCAGGGGCAAGGCCGGGCTGGGGCTCAGGGTGGTGAGGCCGGGCACAGCAATGTCCCAAAGGATGCTTGAGATTCTTTGTAAGCAAAGTGAAGGATTAGGGACAGAGCAGCGTTTACTGGGGCTGTGAGCTGAGCTCCAGCAGCACCGAGTCTGTCACCTAATGATGGTCCACGGCTGTTCCTCCCATCCCCTCTCATCGGTCCAGGGCACGTTTCCACACCAATCTCCCTGATGCTGAGGTGTATAATTGTATTGCAACATTATCTCTCTGATGAAGCTTGTCAGCTTGAATTCCTAATTGCTTGTTTTTTTGCCACCGCTCCCTTTCCTGATGCCCCAGGCCCTTTCGGAGGTGTATAAAAGGTCCAGAAGTTCCACAGAGCTCTATCCACCTTCCACCACTTGACTCGTCTTATCACCTTGGTAAGTGCAAGCCTTCTCTCCTCTTTCCTTCTTCAACCATGGCTTTCTCATGGAATCTTTGTCTGGGGCTTTTTGGAAGAACCCTTGGCTGTGGGCCCCTCTTGCTCTCCTAGAGCAGAGTTGGGTGGTTGGGGTTCTACCAGGGGACCAAGGGCTTGGGAAACTTGAGGACTTTGCTCCTTCGGATGCCAAAGTCTTCTAAATTCCCGTGGGACAGCAAGATTCAGGGATGGAGAGGGCAGCAAGGGATGTGAGCAGGCATTTAGATGGAAGGGGCTCGGTTCAGAATGCTTGGGATGAGCCAGAGCGAGCCCTGGGACACGGGCTGCAGGCGGGCGAGAGCAGCAGGGCTTTGTGTGCCGAGTGCTTGGCATGAGCCGCGGCTGTGCCTTGTCTTGCAGCTTTGCCAGCCGAACCCAAGGATGTCCTGCAACAGCCTGTGTGTCCCCAGCTGCGGGGTGGCCACCCCGGCCCCTCTGGCTGACACCTGCAACGAGCCCTGTGTGCGGCAGTGCCCCGACTCCACGGTGGTCATCCAGCCCCCGGCCTCGGTGGTCACCTTCCCCGGGCCCATCCTCAGCTCCTTCCCGCAGCAGAGCGCCGTGGGCTCTGCCGGAGCTCCCTACGTGGGAGCCGGCTCCGGGGGCGCCTTTGGAAGCCGTGGGGGCTACGGGGGCTACGGGAGCCTTGGAGGCTATGGAGGTTACGGAGGTTGGGGCTACGGAGGCCGTGGTCTCTATGGGGGCTGGGGCTATGGAGGCCGTGGAGGTTACGGCGGATGGGGTTGTGGAGGTTACGGCGGCTGGAGCAGTGGCCACCGCTACCTCAATGGCAACTGCGGGCCCTGCTAAGCCCCAGCCTGAGCGCAGCCTCAGACCAAGAAGAGCTCCAGGAGAAACCCCGGCATATCCCGACCCGACGCTACGTGGACCAAAACTCCTTAAGCATCGCCGGGCTCTGCACCTCGGGAGCCTGGTGCCAGCTTGGGAAGCAGCTCTGCCTTGTCCCTGCCCTGCCTGAGCATCCCCACGGGGCTCCTGGTGCCTCGGCCCCAGAGACTCACCCGGGGCTGCTCCTTCTCTCCTGGCTGTGCCCAGGGCCAGGCCACGGGAAGCCCTTGGCCATGACCCTGCTCTTCTGCCCAGCCCCTCCTGCCCTGCCCCTGCAATAAAAGCTGTCTTGCATTGCAATGTTGACTCCTGGTTTTCCTTCACCCTCCCTTTTGCTGCTGCCCAGTCTCCTGGGGGGCTGCTGGGCTGTTGCAGTGCCCCTGGGCAGTGCCCTGGAGCTCGGGCACAGCTGGCTCCCTGTGTCCCAGCTGGGGATGTCCAACCCCACTGGCTCTGGGGGGCTCATCCCCCCAGCTCCCCGTGCTCTCCCAGCAGCAGGAAATGCAGGACAAACCCAAATCCCTCGCTGATGATGAGAAAGGACCACGAGGGCCTTGCAGAAACTCTTCCAAATCTTCAGCAGAAGCAGCAAAGCTGACATCACTTCTGGGACTGGGTTTAGTTGAGATGGTCACAATACAAAGCAACACTCCATTTTCAGAAGGCTTCAAACCCGATTTTATTTTAGCATGCGTGCTTTCCATACATTCTTACAAAACTCATAGGTTTACACCTTACTCATTGGTCAGGAAAGACAAAGTGCTCATTGGAACAGGCAGTTGCAGGTTCCTCTTATTTCTCCTTTTCTTTCTTGGTTTCTCTATCAAGGACCTTGGTAGGAAATCCTTTCAGGGGTGAACATGGATCCTCTTCTCAATCTTCCCTCTGGCTCACAGAAGTCGCTGTAAATCCTCTCCCACACCGTGCTGGGGCTGGTCAGTCTCATGGGGATGCAGGATGAGCGCTGCATGTCCCAGGTGTTGTGGCCTGTCGGGATGGAGGCAGTGGCAGCTGGGAAGGGAGGAGACAGACCCGAGCAGATCTTGCCCAGTCTCCTCTCCACGCCAAGCAATGACCACAGGGTTCAGTCCCGCGGGGCTCTTGGAGGAGGAGCGTGGAGTTTCCCACCTCCCTGAGGTCCCTTCTATTGCTTATTGATATGTATGAAAATTTCTTCCTAAATTAACACCAAAAACTCCCTGGGTTTGGGATATCATATTTGTTTTAAGTTCATCTAGATCAGTTTTAGACAATATTATATCCTACTCTGTTCATATTATTTCATATTCTGTCCATATTATGGCAATAGTCCCAATGTACCCAGTATTACCAATCTATTAAATAATATTTTTATATTGGCCATGTAATTCAGTGCGAGCAGGGGCCGCAAAGGTCACCGCGGTGTGTCCCTGAGCCCGGGGCTGTTGCAATTTCTGCTGCCGCTCCTGGGCAGGGCCGTGTCCCCGGTGAGGGGTGGGTGACACCGGGGACCCCAGGAAGGGCCTCGGCACCCGCAGAGGGGCGAGGCGGGGCCGGCAGCGCTCCGAGGAGCCGCGGTGGAACCCACAGGAGAAGCGGGAGCAGGAGGCGGTGCGGGGAGCTGGAACGTTCCAGGGGATGAGGAAGGAGCCGGCAGCGCTGCTGGGGCTGTTCTCCCTCTCCCTGCGGAGCCGGGGCCGCCCGAGAGCCCCGAGTGGGGCCGGGTACCTTGGGGGGCTCCACTGGCGCCCAATCCCCACGGGCCTGGGGCTCCAGCGGCCCTCGGGGGGTGTCCAAGGGCAGGGGGCTGGCGGTGGGGCCCGGGGCTCCTGAGGGGCTGCAGAGAGGAGCCGGGAGGGGGCAGGAGGCGGGCAGGGCCAGGGAGAGGTGCCGTGGCAGGGGCTGGGCAGGGTCCGGCTCGGGGGGACTCTGCTGCGGGGCTGGGGCGGCCAAGGACGGGCAGGAGGAGCCCGGGCAGCTGCCGGGGGCTCCTCGCCCGCCGTGTCCGAGCGGGGCTGCCCGGAACCCTCCCGGCAGGCGGGCCGGGCTGGGCAGGGGGCGCGGAGCAAAGAGCAGCCGAGAGCCGGTGAACATTGCAGTGCGAGGCAGCTTTTATTGGCGTGCGGGGGCAGGGGGGCGGCAGCGGAGCGGGGCCCTGGCCGAGGGCTCCCCGCGGGTCCCGGCCGCGGGCAGAGCAGGAGCCGAGCTGGGGCCGTGCCGGGAGCGGGCAGCGATCGCTGCGGGGCTCCGAGCGCGGCGGGGAGGAGGCGGAGCGGTGCCGGGGGATGTCTGTCTGTCCTTCTGTCTGTCTGTCTGTGTGTGTCTGTCGGTGCGTCCTTCCTTGGGGCCTTGGCGTGCGGGGATGGGCCGGGGGCGTTCCTGGAGCTCTCCTGGATCAGGGATGGCGCTCGGGCTGGGGCTTAGCAGGGCCCGCAGCCTCTGGGGGCGCCGCAGCTGCCCCCAAAACCTCCGAATCCCCCAAGGCCGCCGGAGCCACCGGAGCCCCCACGGCGTCCGGAGGAGCCGCCGAAGCCGCCTCCGACGTAGGGAGCTCCGGCCGAGCCCACGGCGCTCTGCTGCGGGAAGGAGCTGAGGATGGGCCCGGGGAAGGTGACCACCGTGGCCGGGGGCTGGATGACCACCGTGGAGTCGGGGCACTGCCGCACGCAGGGCTCGTTGGAGGTGTCAGCCAGAGGGGCCGGGGTGGCCACGCCGCAGGAAGGGACACAGCAGGACATCCTTGAGACTTGGAAAGGCTTCTGGAAAACACTGCGGGGAAAAAAGAGGCAAAGGTGTGAGGGAGGAGTTGTGCTGAGAGAGATCCCCAAGAGGCTTCGGAGAGCTGCACTTACCCAGGTGATGAGAGGAGTCAAGTGCAGGAGTGCGGATGGAGCTGTGCAAGGAGCTCAGCCCTTTTATACAGCCCAGAGAGCCGGGGGCATCGTCCGGGGGTGCGGGCAGACCCCCCTTCCCCAATAATTACGAATTCACGCTACCAAGCTTCATAAAGTGGTCCCACCGTTCTCCCCCTTCCCTGCGGCTTTGGGGCTCCACCAGTGGGATCTGCCCCCTCTGCGGGGCCATCAGGGATAACTGGGACATGCAAACCCCAACGTCCTCCAGAACCCCAAAGGGGCAATTCGCAGAAGTGTCAGGGGACCCCAAAACCTGGCCATGAACATTTCTGCTGGCACTGGCACTCGGTGGGATTTGGGAGACACGCCGAGAGTGGCTTCTCCTTTGCCCACGCTGCCGCTGCCTCTGTTTACCAGCCCGTAAAAGGCCGGTAATGACAGGGGTGATGACTGGGACAGCACTTCAAAGCTGCTGCAAGATTCCGGGAATTGCTCTCTGTAAGCAAACTGAGGGATTAGGGACAAACCTGGGTTTATTGGGGCTGAGAGCTGAGTGAGCTCCAGCAGCACCGTGTCTGTCACCTAATGATGGGCCACGGCTGTCCCTCCCATCACTTCCTTCGTGTCCAGAACACGTTTTCACACCAATGTCCCCAATGAGGGGATGCCATGGAATTATCTTGCAACATTATCTCTCTGATGAGGCTTGTCAGCGTGAATTCCTAATTACTCGGTTTTTTTGTCACCACCCCCTTTTCCTGAAGCCCCAGGCTCTCTGGGCTGTATAAAAGGGCTGAGCTCCTTGCACAGCTCCATCCGCACTCCTGCACTTGACTCCTCTCATCACCTGGGTAAGTGCAGCACTCTGAAGCCTCTTGGGGATCTCTCTCTGTGTCCTTCCCTGAAATTCCTCCATCACACCTTTGCCTCTTTTTCCCGGGGTGTTTTCCAGAAACCTTTTCCTGTCTCCAGGCTGGCCCAGGCCAGGCCCAGCTGGGCACGGCTGGCTCAGGGGCACGGCCGGGCACAGCCGTGTCCCAAAGGATGCTCGGGATTCTGTGTAAGCAAAGTGAGGGATTAGGGACAAACCTGGGTTTATTGGGGCTATGAGCTGAGTGAATTCTAGCAGCACCGAGACTGTCATGTAATGATGGGCCACGGCTGTTCCTCTCATCGGTCCGGGCGCGTTTGCACAGCAATATCTCCAAAAAGGCGATGACAAAGAACTGTTGCCCATCATTAGCTGTGTCATTTACCTTGTCCGCTTGAATTCCTAATTACTGGGGTTTGCCCCCACCCCCTGGACGGTGCCCCAGGCACTCTGGGGTGTATAAAAGGTCCGAGGGCTCCACAGGGCTGCATCCAGCTCTCCCCACTCGACTCTGCTCATTGATCGCTGTGGTGAGTGCCTCCGTCCTCCCTCCCTCCTCTGCGCCTTCCCCGGGGAGTCTCTGGCTGTGGAATTCCCAAGGGATCTCTGTCCCTGTGGAATCCCCGAGGGATCTCTGCCCCTGTGGAACGCAGCTGTCCCAGGGCAGAGTTGGGGTGGTTGGGGTTCCACCAGCGGGCTCAAGGCCTCGGGAGCCCGGAGCTTTGGACGAGGGAGTTTTTCTTCGTTGCCACGGGCAGGCAGGAGTCGGGGGTGGTGAGGGCAGCCGGGCATTCCAGGAGCCGCTCCAGCCGTGCCAGGGCTTGGCTGGGAAGGCCATTCTTCCCCAGATGAAGCTCAAGGCCCAACATTTATCATCCATGAATGAACCGGACTTCTAAGAGCTTCAGCAGCTCTCACATTTTCGTGTTGCACCACGCAGAGGATGGAAACGAGTCATTATCCCTATTCCAAAGCTTGAAGGGAAAAGCATCCATTAATTTATTCCTTTGTGATCCTTCAGCAAAAAGTTACAATGCCTTCACTTTTCTCCACAGTGATAATTTTGGCAGCTCAAAGCACCTCTCAGACGCTGTTTTATATATTTATGAGCTTTTATTAATCTATTTAAAGCACAATTCTCTTCTCAGCTGCTTCATTATTGAAAAAGAGTCACTTCAAAGGCACGAGTTGAGGCAGTTCGATGTTTGCTTTAGTCAGAATTTATTTTATGCCTTTGGAAGTTTCCATTCAAGTGTGGCTCTGCATAAGCAGCCACGGCAATGAACTGCTTTGTCTCCTCATCCTCCAAATCTGGATTTATTGCCAGTTTTATCTTTAGACTTCTTGGAGTGAGCAAAATATATGTTAAAATTCCATGAATTTTAACTCTTTCTTTAACCGAACCCCTGTTAAAGTAGCTAAATCGGGGCTGAGACAGCAGAATTTATTTTATTCTCACCTGGTCTCACTTATGCGTCCCGAGACACAGAAAGCTTTCCCGTTTTTATTTGGGAATTTGTCTGTAACTCCCCAGATTTTATTGATTAGAGATAAATAAAGAAAAAATTAAAACTATGACCAGGTGCAGCTGAATTTTGAGACCAGGATTCAGAGACTTGAGCTGGGCTTCTGAATGGATAAATTCATCAAAATTCATCAAAAACCTTAGGAATTTTTAAAAAATTATTATTTCCAGCCTGAAATTTGCTGGCAACACAACCCCCAGCTTTACTGGGAAAGGTTTTCGTTGGATTTAGTGCTCATATTTTGCGCTGAGCTCAATCCACCTCTGTTCCCTTGGCAGGACTGTGCCCTGGGGGGTCTCCAGAGGTCCCTTCCCACCCAAATTTTGGGATTCTGGGATGCCGGGATCGCCTCTGCCTGTTCAAAGGGCGGCAATTACGCTCACAATGAGGGTTCGAGGGTTTAATTGAGCTTTCCAAGCTCTTTTGTGTCCAGACTTTGAGACACTTCTGTGATGAATAATTGGAGTCGCTCCTCCTCCCCAGGACGCGGTGGAACAGCCTGGGAACTTCACATTTCCAGTGTCATTCCAACGGAGCCTGGAGTGAAGGGAAAGTGAAAATTTCTGCTCTGGAAAGCGGAATTTTCTGCTCTGAAAATTGAATTTTTCTGCTGTGTAACAGATCGGGTCTCTCCAGTCGGAAAGATGGGAAAATCCCTGGCTGGACCAGCAAAAAAACACGGCAGAAAGAAGGGTTTCCTGCCAATTTCTGCTGTTATCCCCCAAAATTTAATTAATTAGCAGCCGGTCCGTGCCTCAGTGATTTACAGTGTCCAATGCCTGCACACCCGCTGGGACGCAAAAGCAAATTTAAAGGAATAATTCCAAATATTTCCTAGGAAATTCGGGATTTGGTATTCATTTTCTGAGTGATTTTGCATCGCTGTTGGTTTGCAAAATGCGCGGGTCCAGCTGAGCTTGGAAGGAGTTTCAGAAAGGCCCCAGGGTGTGGTGTGACCCCCCTAAAACACCGAGCTGCGGACAAAAATCTGTGTCCAGGAAAAGCAGAACGCCAGAAAAAGAAAACCAGGGCCATTTCGTGAGGCTGCAACGTTTTTAATGACAGTAAAGTTCACAATCACAATTTAAAATAGCAGAGAGAGCAGAAAGAATTTAGGAATTTATATGTGCAGAAAATCTCCCGGTTTCATCGGTACAAATTTAGCGGTCGATTTTTCGTTTCCAGACTTTCCCATTTGTTTCCAGTCTGGTAAAACGAAGCTGATTGGATGATTTTGGGGGGTTTTTTTGGCATCGTTTCAAAAGCAGTGAAGTCAGAAATTCATCCCTAGGACAGGCACGCTCATAGGTTTCACTAAGAGCTGGGAAAGAGCCATAAATGAGCGATTTGCAACAAACACTAAACCCAGTTTCCTTTACACCACCAAACCCAGGGAGAGAAAAAAGAGGGGGAAAGCGTTTTGGAGGAAAATCCGAGAAACTTTAGGGGAACCCCGAGCTGAGCCGGAGCAAAATCCACCCAGGAGCAAAATCCACCTAGGAGCAAAATCCACCCAGGAGCAAAATCCATCTGGGAGCAAAATCCACCCAGGAGCAAAATCAATCAGCCCAGGAGCCTTCAGAGCGGATTTTGGGGTTTTTGGGGCTCAGCACTGGTAGCAGGGGTAGCAGCTGCCGTAGGAGTATCTCTGGAAGTAGCGGGAGGAGTAGGGCGAGCAGTAGCGGGGGCTGAAGGTCGGGCAGCACTCGCGGTAGCCACAGAGCCTCCCGTAGTAGCCCTGGTAGCCGCAGGGGCTGCCGCAGTCGTAGCTGCGGGAGCCGAAGATGCTGCTGTAGCTGCAGGGGGAGTAGCAGGGATCCTCACACTGCCGCTGGTAGCAGAAAGTCATCTTGGGGGCTGGAGGGAGGCGAGGCTGCGAGGGAGGAAAAAAAACCCTTGAGGTGAGTCCCGACAGCGAGTAAACCCCGAGTGAGGGCTGCAGGGAAGGGAGAGGAAGAAAAGCGCTGCCCAGTGCCCTCATCCCAAATTTAGGGCCAGTTTTTCCCCCTAATCCTCCATCCTGAGCTGTCTCACACAGCCCCGCTGAAAAAGGGGGCTGTGAGCCGCGACCCCGAGCCAAAGCAGGGCTGGAAATTCCTCAGAGCTGCGCTGCGACAAAGGCGTGAAGGGAAAAGGGGATCCTTGCGGGGCTGAGGCTGTTTCGAACACTCAGATATTCCAAATCCAGGGAGGAAAGATTGTTTTGCACAGGGATAACTCCTAAGTCACAACCTCAATTCTTGGCGGCACCATCTGTAGATTAGCGGGGGAAAAAAAAAAAACAAAAGAAAGAGGGGGAACAGCCCCAAATCCATCCCTTCATCATCCTCTGAATTTCCCAGCTCTGTTCCCACTTACCCTGGGCTGCAAGGAGGAGAAGGCAGGAGGAGGGAATGGTTCCTCTGCAGAGATGCGGGGCTTTTATGGAGCTCCCGGTCCCGCCCCGCGCACCCCACACGCGTCGGGCTCAGCCCCAATTCCCGGCC